GGAGTGGGGGTACGCTGCCATGTATCCTGGCGCCACACTACAAATGGTGTAAAAAGCTCAATAAAAGCCTGAAAAGCCACTGAGAGCTCCAGGACTCTCCTTTACCCATCTGTCGGGGTCATAGAGCACATGCACTGTGCCTTGCTGGCACTATATGTGCAAAAGCTGAGGTTAGCTACAGAATATAGCTAAAGTTTCCAGGGAAAAAGGCACTATTGGTCATCTCAGACAGCAGTGTTGTTAGGTAATAATAATAATATTTGGAACTTCAGCAGAATGTAAGGATACCTTTTAATCTACTAAAATGGTAAGGAAATTTCTTTTATTATTTTCCAATAGCAACAATGATACTCCGATTGCATAGTTTGTTCTTACAACAGTGGTTCTTAATACTTTTTTTAGGTTGTACCCCTTGATGTGCATATTCATTGAAATTTTGCATACAAGGCGGAGATTTTCCTTCCTTACCCTTCAAAGAATAAGCTTATTTGTGGTTTAAAGATGTACTTTAGATGCACTCAATGTACTTTAGATTACTTATTCACTGAGCTTCACCAATGTTCTGACCTAGTGATTCTGATCAGAATTGCAGTATTTTTATATCAGAATTAAAGAAAAAATTCTTGTATTTCTTGACCTCAGACCTCAACTTTTTTTTTTTAAGATTTATTTATTTATACAAGAACTGGGGCACAGGCCAGAGGCACTAGAGGGTGAGAGAATTCACCAGAGACTGAGTGGGGAACAGAACAGGCGGATGGACCGAAATAACTGCTCAGCCCTTAAATCTTTTTTTTTTTTTTTTAAGATTTATTTATTTATTTATACAAGCACTGGGTGGTACGGTCAGAAGCGCGGGAGGGTGAGAGAATTCACCAGAGTGGGGAACAGAACAGGCAGACTGACGAAGTACACTGCTGAAGGGAGCAGCGGGCGGCAGGAGAGGTCTGCGCACCATGAGGTACCCTCGCCTGGTGGCCAGGGATCGAACCAGCGCTGCAGAGGCTGTGGGCAGCTTCACAACCCAGCGCTCAACCTCTGCACCACCGGGGAGGCCCTCAGCCCTTAACTCTTTAGGCATAGTCTGCTTTTTGTTCTAATTGGCACCTTCCCCCTTCCCTGTCACTGTTGTGCTAGTGTTATAATATGTATCTTGGTTTCCAAAGAGAATTTACTAGGAGGTACTTTACTAGAGAAATTACTAGGAAGGGAGCCATCTGTTAGTCTTTAGACTTAGGTTAGACATAGTTGTGAGTCTGTCTTTAATAAAATGGCATTTAATTAGCTTACTAGTTTCTTGTGATACGTCATTGAAGAAGCTGCAAAACAAATTACTGTAGGGCCTCCCTGGTAGCACAAGGGGTTAAGCACTGCACTGTGAAGGAATCTACATCCTTGTAGCACGATTTGATCCCTGGCCGGGGAGTTACGCACATGGCACAGCAGACCTCTCCTGTCCCCCTGCTGCTCCCCTCAGCAGTGTATTTCACAATCTGCCTGTTCTGTTTCCCCGCTCTGTCTCTGGTGAATCCTCTCACCCTCACATCTCTGGCCTGTACCCCAGCCCTTGTAGGCAATCTTAAAACAAAAAAACACTCTTGTCATACTCTATACACGTCAAATTGTCATTGGAACAAAGGTTGAAGATACTGCATCAGGGAAACCTACCCCTGACGATGAGCTCCAGTATATAATATTATCTCACATATAATGTCCTTTTGTTCTTGAGTTCTGGGTTTGAATTTAGATAAAGCTGGGGGGGAGGTGATCTTCCTCATCTTTATTTGGAATCAATAATTTGAAACTTCAGCTTAGACTAAGACATAATTTAATAACAATACACCTTTTACATTTTCCCAGTAGTAAGAGTATATGAAGACATTATTTGTCCTTAAATCACAGAAACCTGTTAGGCCACCATTTAAGTCAGTGAATTGCAGAATTTTAATGGTAAATTAGTAAAGTGTTTTTTTTAAGATTTATTTTTATACAAGAATCGGGGTACAGGCCAGAGGTGTGGGGGGTGAGAGGATTCACCAGAGACAGAGTGGGGAACCGAACAGGCAGACTGACGAAATACACTGCTGAGGGGAGCAGTGGGGAGACAGGAGAGGTCTGCTGTGCCATGTGGGATTCTCGCTGGCTGGCTGCCTGGGATTGAACTGGCGTTGCAGAGGCTGTGGACAGCTTCACAGTACAGCGTCCAGCTGCCTGCGCCACCAGGGAGGCCCCTAATAAAGATTTTTTGCTGTAGAAGCAGTGCATCCTAAAGAAGCCAGATGAACTGATCCCTAACTAGATATCTTTTTGATACTTTAATATTTCTAAGGAAACCACTTATCTTCTCATTCTTGTTTCTCAACAAAGTAAGATAATAGTATCTCTAGTACTTTACATAACTATTGAGAACATAAACTCTAGTTTCATAGTATTGATTATACCTTGTAAATTGTTAAATTTTATACAAATGTAAGGTAATCTGATCACAGGTTTGCTTCATATCTGTAGGGTAAATGGAAGTTTTAAGTTTTTTCCACCCTCCCGCCATTAACATCAGTGGTCGACACTGTGGTCTTACATGCATGCCTGATGGCAGCACCTGGAGTATGGTGTGGGCACGTGTGGGCGGGCGCACCTGATCCGAGAGTCTGAGCGTAGGAAAGTGGTGGCAGAGGACTGTGTGGCAGAGTAGCCCAGAAAGGGTGACGATTCGCCAGGGGCTAGGAGGCCTACAGCCTCCTGGGCCCCAGGCCTCCCTGCCTGCCCTATACCTGGTTGTCACACTACAAATGATGTAGAAAGATCGTTAAAAGCCTAAAATAGACACTGAAAGCTCCAGAACTCCCCCATTCCCATCTGCCCCGATCCATAGAAACCTGCTCTGTGCCTTGTTGGCACTACAATATCATTAATTGGCTCTGCCTCTGTTTAGTGACCATCCACAGTGACTATCTATCTATCTGTAATATATGTCTATAATGTGTGCTTTTTTTTTTTTTTTAATAAATGTGAGTTCTTGGTGATACCTTGTTTGGTAAATCCATAGCCATATGTGGCATTACTCTTAGATCCCAGGTGCTCTTGCAGGTTTGTGAAAATGTAAAAGTAAATGAGATAATCTTTTGGTTGGTAGTTAAATAAGAATTATATTATCAGAGAGATGGAAGTTAGTGATGACACTGGAGCTGTACTATTTTATACTATTTTGGTTTTGTAGATGTATATTTTTCTTCCTGTGTAACTTAACTTTTGGTAAAAATAGGTATTACTTGTGAATGATTTATTAGCTTTTTTGTGTGTACGTGTGACTCTGAATTTTATGTTACCTGAAGATTTCTTTGTATAATTTATGTAAAATAAATATTATTAGAATTATCTTTGATTTAGAATTTGGTAGCAATTGCTAAGTTTGGCAAGGGCTAGTAAGAATAATTTGAATTGATATGTGCAAATTATGGGAGACAAGAGATAAAAGGGTCCTTGCAGATCATCTTATTGTTGATTTTAAAATTCCTCTTTGGAGGAGCGGTAGAGTTCTGATTTTTGCTGAGGTCACCTGGGAGCTTCTGAAGAGGAAGTTTGCCTGGAGTAGGGTATGTCTTGACTGGTGTACCTAGCCCTCCGTCCTCTTTCAACCAGAGGAGGCCCAGTATTGTGTTTTCTGTCTTGGTTATAAATGTAAGCTTTTTTCTTTAAATTGTTTTTGTGGTTAAAAATAAAGTCAGGGCCTCCCCTGGTGGTGCAGCGGTTTGAGCACTGGGCTGCGAGGCTGCCTGCAGCCTCTGCAGCGCCAGTTAGTTCCCCGGCCGCCGGCGAGGGTCCCACAAAATAAATTAATAAATAAATAAATAAATAAATAAAATCAGATGATTAGTCTCACTTCTTCATTTAAATGACAGAATTACAGAGTACTAATAAAGTTAGCTGGAACCCTGAATTCCTAAATTCACTGCAGTGTTCTTTGCTTAAATCATACTGCCTCCATGTGGCTTTAGTAATATTAAAATTCTCATTGCGACCTTTTATGTGATGTACACTTAATACCGTGAACTGCTGAATCTGAGACCAGGATTGGCAGTGTTAATATCCAGATCTGGCTTAATTTTTTAATGAAAATGATTTAATAGTTGTACTTGATTTATATGCACTTTTTTCTTTGAATGTTAACAGTGTTTTTTTGAAATTCAAGTTTTTACAATTTTCACAGTTTATTGAAACCCCACCCTTATATTCTTAAAAAATTAAAGGCCTCTTTTCTGCAGAGTAAGATGTGATTCATGTATGTTCTAATATGCAGTATAAGTTAAATAAAGGGGTAGTAAAATTGTCCTTATCTTTCAGTTTCTCCTAAATTCTCAAAACTAATTTTGGTAAACATGTTGTTTTTCTGTTAAGTTATAGTGCTATTGCTGGCCCTTTGGTATTAGGAAGTTCATTTAGTGCCTGACTTTTCACTTAATTTGTAATTACATATAATGAACATTTGTAGTACGTGTGAGTACTACAAATAGAGAATCTGATTTTTTTGGAATCAGTTTGCATTTAGTTAGGATTTTTCTGACTTAGACATTTTGGCAAGATTAATTAGTTAGGATTTTTTATTAGCTTAAGAATTCTCTAGCATAAAGGCAGACTGTTGTCTATTGTAGTACGTAATAAGGTAATAGTAATTTTTACCTACCTAATGACCTACAGCAGTATATTATTTTCAGGCGTAGCTAATGTGATGAAATGATCACCACATTAAGTTCAGTTAACAATTACTAAGTAGTAATAAAAAGAATTTTGTTATTGACCAGCAAACAGAATTTTTAAGGACACTAAACAATGACCTGTAGTCTCTTTAGATCTGTTAGTGTACCTGAAAACTTGGTTCTGTACTTGCTACCTCTTTTTTCTTAATTCGTGATTGTTTTGATATATTTCTAGAAAATGCTGAAGTGATTTTTAAGTCTAATTGATGCTTAATCTCATTCTATCTCTTTTATAATTATTTGCAGGAGAGGGCTGCTTACAATTTATATGGCCAACTTGGTAAGTAATTATATTTTTTTCTTTTGAGGTTTTACCATGTACACTTTTTATCTTTTTTAAAAATTCAGTTTCCTTAAAAAAAAAAAAGCTACTTAAGTTTGAGAATATTCTCTGTGTCTGTTCTAAAGGACAGATTTAACTGTTTAAAAGAGGTGTAAGTAATGTCATCTGGTTTATTGTTCTAATGACTAAATTTCACTTATTTCAGAAGAAAAGTGATTTACCGCCCTGTGCCCTTCATGACCTTATTTTAAAGTTTACATCTTCATCTTTCTTAATTGTATGTGTCTTTTTGCATATCATTCATTTCATTTCATACTTTGCTTTTAGCCATTTCTTATGGGAAAGAGGATTTAAGAATTTCGATATATGTCATATATGCTGTCAGAACAGAATTGGGTGCTACCTGCGAACACCTAGTAAATTTAATAATATAATTAGCTAGACCCAAATTTCTAAGCCTACAGAAATGAAATTAATGTTATCTGGCCTAATATTTATTTTTCATGGTAAATACATAATCAAGGTTGCATAATTTTCATTGTAAAATCCATATTTAGAAACATACTAAAATCTAAAATGGTTTAATAGAATTGAAGGGTAACATTTAAAAATTCAACTAAGAAAAGGTGAATAATTATTTACTTAAAAATAGGTTCTTGAATTCTTTAACAAGGGGATGTAGTTCAGAATTACGTTTAGCAAGTCATTTCATTATTTAACATTTAATTTTTGCTCTGTACTGTGTCAGTTACAGTGTGACATACTGGTAGGCAAGAGAGATGGCCCTTGTTCTTAAGGAATTTCCTGTCTAGTGTAGAAGTCATAGCAGAGGCAATATTGTTTGAAAAGGACTGAAAGGTGAATTATTGGGTACCATGGGAGCCATAATAGAAACACCAGATTATTCTGGGTGGAAAGAGTGCTTGGCTCAGAGAAAAATGGTTCTGACTTTTTGAGTCACAGACCTCTGAGCATCTCATGATGCTTTGTAGAAAACTGCTCATGTATAAAAACACCCTCAAAATTTTGTTCAATTTTCGAGTTTGCATGTGCCAGTGATTAGGAATGCTTAGAATATGACATCAGGTAAGTTACTTAAAATAGTGCAGAAAACTAGCTATTCTGAGATCTTCTAATTGCAGTGAGATGGAAATCTAAGTATAACAAGAGAGCAGAGCCTTTTTTTGTCTGTTCTTTCTTGAAAGAACTCTTTTTATAAAATCTAAGTTCTATGAGAGCAGGGACTATTTCCATTTTATTTGTTACTTTATAATGAGCACCTAAATAGCCTGACATATAGCAGGCATTTAATAAGTATTTCTTGAATGAAAAAATAATTTTGCTGGCTGAAGAATTCTTGTTTCACAATTATTTTACTCTAGTGCTTGAAGATGTTAATCCTTTGTTCTTTGTAGATTCTTTTGGTGTCTTTTGTTTGTTTATACATTTTTGATAATCTTTCTTTTTTCTCAGTTGTTTTTGAGATATTCTGAAGAATTGTTTTGGGTATATTGGTTTCATCATGATGTAGACTTATTTTTACTTAGTTAAATTTGGATTTGGTTTCTTTTTCAACTGGATGACAAATGGCTAGATCTAGAACTAAATTCTTATCCATTCTCTCTTTGAATTTTTCTTCTCTCCTCCACTATATTCTTTTATTCGGGAGCTCCTATTAGATTTATGTTAACACTTCTTTTTTTTTTCTGCATGTTCCCTAATTGCTGTTGAATATTTTTCTATATATTTTCTCTTTTTATGCTGAATTCTAGATGTTTCTTTTGAGTTATCGCCTAGTTAACTCATCTCTTTTTCTGTTTTTAATGTTCCCCTTAATTTTTCCATTGAAAATTCACTTTCAATGATGACTGAATGGATTTGAGTCCTAATATTTTTAAAGCCATGAACATGCTTGTCTCTACTGCCACGGGGTGTATGCTTACTGCCTGTATTTATTCACATCCTTAAATTCTAACTAAACTGTTATAATATTGTGTGTGTGTGTGAGTGTGTGAGTGTTGCCTGTTTTGGATGGCAAATTCTAGGACAGGTCTTTGATATAATAATGTTAAAGAGTGCACTTAAAAAACAAGGGTCCTCATCCTGTCCTTTTGTAACTACAAACATTTTTTCTCTTTAGGTATCCTTCTTCCCTTTTCCATGCCTTTAATCTCTGGCAAGCATTAATCATCTCTCCATTTCTCTAGTTCTGTAATTTCTGTAATCTTTTCAAAAATGTCAAATAGAATCATATATACTATCTGTGACTAGCTGTTTTCTCTCAGCATAAGTCTCTGAAATTCATTCAAGTTGTTGTACATATCATTAATAATCCCCGTAGCATGACTGTTAGTTTGTGTAACTGTTCATCCATTGAAGGACAGCTGGCTTGTTTCTGGTTTGGCTTCTACAGATTAAGTTCCTGTAAATATTTACGTGTAGGTTTTTGTGTGAACACAAGTGATCATTTCACTAGGATAAATGCCTGAGTGATATGATAGTTGCAGGTTTAGTTTTTAAGGTAACTATTAAACTATTATCCAGAGTGTCTGTACCATGTTGTTTTGACAGTGTTCTCAATCTGGAAAAAGGCTTTGAAGTGCTAGTATTTTTTCAGAATAAACTTTTTGAGGGGGAAGAAAGGGAGTAACATTTGTCTGTTAAATAGATTTGTGTGTTTTGTGTTCAAAATTAATTTCAGTATTAGGAAAGTTTTCCAGAAGATACAAAATATGAACTGTATTTTTATCTTTGTCAACCAGTTATAAAAGGTCTTGAAAATCAAAAATTTAATGAGGTTAAGGATTTTACACAAACACTTTGATTATATGTAATAGAAAGTGAATTTGTACATGATTTATCAGGAATTAATGATAATCTAATAAACTTCTCTATCTAGATTTTAAAGTTTATACCATTACTATGTAACTATTCTGTAGTTAAAGAGTCTTTGGTTCAGAATAGGGCAAAATTTTAATATTTTTAGAGACACTGAATTTAGCTTGAAGAAATAACTTTGTTCTATAACTTGGGTGTGTTGCTTACTAGATTAAGTTGAAATCTTGGTTTATAGCATAAATAAAATTTGTAAATGTTGGTAAGTTTTTATATTTCAAATAATTTTTAAAAATTATTTGTTTTTATGTGTTTCTGATTTGTAAAGTACAAAAATGCTTAAAGAAGAAACTAAGTATTATCTGTAATTTACCATGTAGTAATTACTAACGTTCAATGTTCAGTTTTTCATTTCCTTCCTTCCCCTCCAATATATATACATAAATGTACAAATGTATTCGTGTATAGGCATTATCCATTATACCCATTTGAAAAATATTGGGGGCATATTTTGTTTTATCTTGTTATTATGCCATATAGTTTCTATTGTATTAATATTAAATAATCATTTTGGGGGGAACCGTATGTGCCTCCCCTTTTACTTCTTGGTTGTATCTTCTTTGCAGTGGTTTGGTTTTATATACATACGTATTTACATAGCTCTACTCCATGTGTTGAGAGACAATGAAATAATAACTATTTGGTTTATGGATAGTTTGGCTGTGGGAGCAACCCATTCTTTAATTATTTTGACCAGAATATTTCAGAAGCATTGCCATGCCTTTGAATAAATACATGACAGAAGAATATGCACAAATGGCTCCATATTATCTTTACCATCTTAGTCTTTATTTTTATCAGTGAATTTATAGAGTGTAAAGCACTTTGCTAGGCATTTGGTCACAAATATAAGCCATTATTCCATGCTTGAAAATAGTTGAGGGAACAAGGTATATCTGAATTTAAAATAAATAGGTAATTAATAATCTGAGATTATGTATTCATATCAAATATGTGGTTAGACAGTATGGTCTTTAGTACGTTAGGAAAGGGAGTTAGCTTTTGGCTGGGGCAATCAGGGAAGGTTTTATATATTAAATGGGACTTAAACTTTGAAGAAAGGTGAGGACTTGGAGGCTAAGAGATATATCATTGATGACCACAGGACAAAACTCATGCCTTTCCAAAGATTGCCAAGTTGGGGCTAAGGTTTAGGAATAATAGCAACAACAGAGAAGTTATTGAACACTTATTGAACATGTAGTGTGTTAGACACTGTAGGTGAAAAAAGAGCCACCAAGATACACAATGCATAGTTCCTGCTTCCAAGGACGGTATGTTGTACTGGAAGGGAGAAATTTGAAAACCATTGAAAGTGACTCTCAACTGTTTTTTAGTATTAATAGTTGTCTCAAAGGAAAGTGTTTATACTTTGTAATTGTTAATACAAATTTTGCTACTTGTATTTTATTGTTGTAGGGAGCAGGTGAAGAACTATAAGCTGTAACTATGTTCTAATTAATGCTTTTGTTATAAAAGTATCTTCCCTCAGACATCCTTACAGTTACTCTTACTAAGCATGGTTTTTGTCAGTAAGCCCTGGTATGTCTCAGTTAACCTAAATGGTTAACTAGCATTTGTAAAAGTTACAAACTAAGGTAATTAAATTTATGTCCATCGTAAAATAGTTTTTTCGTGTTATAGAATGATTAGCATATTTTGAAGGAAAAATGTATAAATTTTAAGAGTATAGTTTTTAAAATATTTTTAGAAGTGAGAGAGAATTAGTTTTTAGAGTGCAAAATACATAAAAGATTTATACAAAAGGTATGATTTTTTTATGGCTTTTGCCCCCAGAGAGGGCTATAAAAATGATGGAAATATTTTCCTGGCTCTAACCACACACATATCCACAAGAGCACCAGCTGCTGGGATTCAACTTTGCCCCAGTGTGATTTAAAAGAGAACACGGAGTTTGCAGTCACATGATTTCCCTCTGTTATGTTGGTCATGACAAGGACTAAATATTACAGTCTTTCAAAATTCATCATATGCTGCTAACAGTTATTTAAAATGTGATATGAGGAATAGTTCGTTTGTTTAATTATCATTTTTAACACATAAATCTTTCTGTACAAGACCTCTTAAAAACTTAGTTCTGC